TTTGTTATCTCACTGACGAGAAGGATTTGAACCAGTTGAGTACTGTACCCTTTAGATCACAGAGCAGCTTTAGGCAATAATAAGAACAACAATTGACTACTTGCCTGGATGTGCTATAAATATTTCACTTTCAAGAATAAAAAGAAATATCAATGGGAGCTGGCACCTTCAGAAGAGAAATGTTAAAGAGAAATATGTGGTATACATTTTTTTTTTCAGTTCCCACTGATTATAATGCAAACCAATATCTCCTTATTTGAAAGATCAAGATTTGTATTTTTAGCCACAAGCTATCATGTTAACTGTATTAACATACATATGCCTACTAATTAAGATATATCAAATCACTGTTTAGCCTGGTGGTTGTATATAAATGTGAAATAAATATCTCCGATGAGTATATATAGAGAAACAACAATAGTCTGTGGGAAAGCAGCCACAGTTGTAAATTTCTCTAGAATGTCATTTCTAATGCAGTGATGGTCATTTCTCATGTGATATCCTGGAAAGGACTCCACAAAGGGTTTAGGATAAGTAATGAGTACTGCACTGAAGAATTCTTAAGAATTGTACTTAGGAATTGTGCCTTGTACTCAGTTTTAATAGCTGACTCAGTAATATAGAAAAATGGGACAAAAGCAAAAAAATAGTACATACGTGTATCAAATAGTATGATTACTTGATGCCACAATATATATGTATTTGTATTATCACAACAGCAATCCACATGAGACACTGTTTTTTTAAGCGTGTATTAGAAAAAACTTGTATCCCTTTTGAGTTTCCTCTAATACAGGTTTTGAAAACAGTTGGAGACATTGAAGTCTCCAATGATAAGCAATCTGGGATAGTCTACCCCCAGCACAGCACCCCCATAATTCTATTTACTTCCTAAAGAAAGGCTTTCCATAACCTGGTGGTTGGTAGATGTGCAACAAGTTAAAGCACATTTCTCCAAATAGCTGCACACCTACATAATCAAATGAGTGAGTTGGGCCAATGGAGAAGCTTCTACGGTTCAGTTTAAATTTAAAGCAGATTACAACTCTGCCACCCCTGCACTCTTGTATTAGGCAGGAAAGGCTGAGTAGTTGCATGGAACTGCTGCTTCTTCGATGGGCCCTGTATATTCATTTAACCACATTTAGGTGCTGCATGTCAGGTCACTGTATTCATTGAAATTCGCTATGACATTTGTATTATTCCGTATTGATCTGGTATTACAGAGAGTGGTTGTGATGGATTAAGTACCTGAATTCTTTTGCTTTTTTCATTTTTTACATGATTCTTTGCAGTATAGTTGAGATGCAAAGAATTTTGTGTTTCATCCCATTGTGTTCTGTGCAGGGTTGCTATTTGATTACTCAATTGAGGAAGTAAGGGTATAGATGAGGTGACTGATATATTCATTGTGCATAGATTTCTATGTGCCTGTTTTCCTCTTCACCCCCTATGGGTCTTTTTTTTTTAAGTCCATGGGGCTTTAGGATGAGAATTATGGATGGTTTAATATATGTGTCAGATTTAGCTGATCAAAGGGACAACAAAAAACAGGAGAGTATGAATACGTTCTATGTCAGCAGTTGAGGAAATTAGTTTTGCTGGAAACAGTGAAGTTTGTTCTACTTTGATTAGCATGTGGATAGCCAGGTCAGAAAGTAGGCAGTGTAGGATAGCTGAAAGAGAAGAGGTGTGAAAACCCTTTGAAATGCAAGATGTTAACATCCATTGAAGTGTATCCTAAAGTAAAAACTGATTATTTCACACCCAGGATAGTATTTAAGATTTTTAAATATAATTCTGTGGTTGAGAATTAGAAAATGTGCTAACCAGTACAATACAGGACTAAGTATAGGTAAGTGATATATGTGTGCAAATGGTTGTTTGATTTTCCAAATATCTTTAGATCTTTGCTTGATGACTTTATGTTTTAATGTGGGGATAAAGTTTAAACTCTTGAAGTCTTAAAACTTTGGAAACTGAGATTATCATTTCAGTGTGTATCTTTATGTAGGATGGCAATCCAGCTGAACTGAGCTTTCTGGGTAGCTTCTAAATCTAAAATTCTGGTAAAATTTGGATCCCTTTTATTGCATATATTGCTGGGTTTGATGAAAATGCCCTACTTCTCAGGGAAAGTTCAGGAGTAGATAAGAGGTGAGGCAGCTATGTAAAATAAAGACTTTACCTTAAGTATTTTTCCACTTGGTTTAACAGTTTGCACCAGAGCTGGAAATGGCACTAAATTAATGGAGGCCATGGAAGATCAAATAAAGAGGGATAAAGACCTCCATTTGTTATGGTGTAGCCAGAGCCTGAGCTCCAGTTAAACCATACACATACATATATAAAAATATATAGCAAAATATGCCATCTTTAATGTGTCAAATACAAAAATAACCAATGAACCACACAGAACTGGTGGATTAAAAACTAATTAAAACCCCTTAAAGAAATAGTAAGGGATACACTTGACTTTGTATTTGAAATTTAATGTGACCTCATAGAGACACAAATACCTGCTTATCCTATCTTTGTGTAGGCAATCAAAGACCACATTTAAGATTTCACAGACTTAGATCTGAATAAAGTAGGGAAATGAGCAATGAAAGTGTTCAATGTGCTACAAACATTACGTAGAAGGCATCTCTAAAGTGCCTGCATACTACTTCTTATCTACTATGGAATCCCCTGATATCCCTGAAAAAAAAGATCTCTGATATCCAAAGTTTTTGTGGTTGCTGGCTATGGCCTACTGCATCCCATGCTCAAAGCAACCCTTTTGCCAGTGGGAGAAAATTATATGTAAAAGAACCCTGTGGAAGAGGAACCGTTATACTTACCTGTCTGACCAGAGGTACATCTTCACTCTTCTGCAGAGTTCCAGATGCCGATGCTATCTGACACTTCTGGATGTGTCAGATAGCGCATTCATTCTTTTGCATCAGCTGTGGTTTTAGATCTTTCAAGAGGATGATCATTAGGGACATAGTTCCAAAATACTCCTACTCTGTCTGCAAGGGCCTGTGAACATAGACCTGTGGTTCTTTCTGAGCTGCTTCTCTCCCCACACAAGTCAACAGGAATGTAAACAGATTAAAAGAGGTTGATGCAGCTTAGAAGGAGGTCAAATACAGGTCAGAAGGATGTTAACTGGAGGTCAAATGCACCTGTTAATGAACTCTGAGGGCCCATTCACACCTTACCAGCGCAGTGAGTTGCTTTACTTTAATGCACGTTACCTACCATTCTTTTTGCATTCTGTGATTAGATGTCACAAACCTGCCCCCTACTCTCCTTCTCCAATAGCAGGACACCTTCTATTCTTTGAGAAAAATACAAGGTATTTTGTAAATGGGCAAGAAGTAAGAAGGGGCAGGGATGTAACTGCAGCGCTTAACTGCTTGAGTCGCATCATTCACTCCCCACAGTGCCCAGAAGCTGAGTGTTATGGGTAGGAGACGGTGTGCTGCAAGGTAAGATTTTTATACTTTGCAGCAGCCCTACACACATAACAAACAGCTTTTTAATGATAAGTTACTCACCCAGTGCTGTGTGTACATTTTAATTTTTTCGGGAGCTTGACTTTAAGCTAAATATGACAAAATATCACAGTTTTACAACCAATTGCTTTTACCTAAAAAGTGTTCAAGGCTCTTTTTCTGCATCTACATTAGTGTATAAAAGAATATACCAGAAAGCTTCATATCACTGTGTGAAAAAACTTTGATTATATTTAAAATGTCAGTGTTGGTGGCAGGTTACAGGTTGTCCTTTACATCTAATTTAAACAGTATAATCACAATGCTTGGTTTTGCAGATTCCAGAAACATAATTACACACATAATGAAATAGTGTCTTGCATGACAGCTCTTGTACATCATGTGGGTTGCAGTTTAGTAAATAGATGCCTAAACATGCAGTCTCAGATGTGTGTTTTGATCTAGTTTTATTCAAATATTGTCCCTGAAAAGGGCAAAAAATAAAAAAATCACAAATGCATATAAATAATTTCAGTAAGTAATGAGTTATACCTTTCTGTTGACTGTACAGCATCTAGAACCAGAAGATATAAATGGATTGGATAATGCTGTAATATATATCAAAATGAGGATTGATATGAAGCTTCCCGGCATGCCAATTATGCAAAACACAATCCGGCATGTCACATTACAGCCTATCAGTCTCAATTTAGGCCTGTCCCTGGTATAATTTAGCCTCCTATGAGTTAATGAAATGATTGCTTGTGCCCTAGGCAGCAATGACCCATGTTTGCTTTAACATTTCCACACAAGCTGAATATTCTGGTGGATTTATTGAAAAGTTCAGTTGAATAGATGGTCTTCAGGAGATTGTTTTGTTTTCTTTTTTTCTTCCATTTCAACATGGATATTATCTCATCCACATGTCAGATGTAAGGAATAAATACAACATACATGCTAAATGTCCAGTACAGGAACATAGTGTAAATTTTAGCCCACTAAGTATGTAAAGACTGTGTAACAAATAGATGTATGGTACTTCACATTGAGCAGGTATGGCTTTTTTTTAAAGATGAAACCCTCAGACTTTGCACCTTACAATTCTCCCATATTTATATACCTATATTCTAATTTAATTATGCACACTATATTGTATTGTCTTCACCTCCCAAGCATGGCCTCTCTGTATTTGTACTGCTAGATATTTTTGTGACATGGATATCCACATTCCGTTTATATGCAACCAATTTTGAATACACAATTGCTTGACCAACATATTGTTTTTAAATATGCAAGTCAATTTCAGTTTTCTTTCTGTAATTTGTTTTCTACAACACCCGTTTAGTGTTCTGCCATATACCACTCCACTATATACAGTTATGTGAAATAAAACTGATTTTACACGACAAAGTTGTATTGATCTCACTCTAATATTAGATATCTGTCAAAACAAGGCTAGCTCCAAATGTATTTAGCTATTTTTTCTAATTTGAAAACTATTTATTGTGATAATTCTAGATTATTTGACCATTCCATGGAAGGATTTAAGAACTGGGAATTTATGACCACACACTGCTGGGGAGAAAAGGCTTCAGGAGATTGGATTCTGGAGATTTATGATACCCCTTCACAGTTGAGGAACTTCAAGACTCCAGGTACATTTGTCTTATGCTCATATACAATATTAACATTGTGCTCATGTTTAAAGCAGATCTTCCTTATAAACTAAAATCGGACATTTTCTTTCTCAGCATTACTACATAGCAGTAACACGCAAGAAAGTGAAATCCCAAAAGATTGCAATATACAGAATAGTGCTACAGGATTCTACCAATTTGGAATGTACAGAAGCTATAACACTGACATTAGAACACATAGGGGTCTATTCACGAAGCTGCTGAAGGATCTGGCCGTAGCTTTGGCCGATCCTTCGGCTAGCTTCGGCCCCAGGACCCCCTCAGTTCAGTAGGACCGAAGGGGTGCTGTACGGGCTATTCACAATAGCCCGTACAGCTCCCGATCATGGCCGAGCGGCTCAGCCGAGCCGAACGCATATGCATCGGCTTGGCTGAGCTGCGCTGGATGCCGAAGCTGGCCAACAGCAGAGGGCGGGTACAATGCTAGTTTACTATTGGCTATTGCAAATTGAAATAGCCAATAGTAATGTCCCAATGCTTTTCAATGGGAAAAAAAAAAGTTTTTCTTTTTTTTCTATTCTGACATCGCTCGTGTCAGGATAAAGAAAAAAAGACACATCAGTGTTTCTCTCCAGGGCGGCCGGGAGCGGGAGGCTCCCAGAGCGCCCGGGAGAGTTTTATTTTTGTTTGTTATTTTACAGCAGCAGAGCCGCCGGACAATAGAAAAATATTGGGCGGAGCTAGCTGTCACTGCTAGCTCCGCACAATCGTTTTCTATTTACTTTTTTTTACTTTTTTCACTCTTTTTCTGCTCTGCTCGGTCCCTCTGAGGGACCGAGCAGAACAGCCGCGCCGAATGCCGCTCAGCTGAATCGAACTCCTTCTGCACTTCGGGTCGGGGCTGAGCATGTTCAGCCGACCCGAAGCCACGCGAAGCAAGCCGATGTACGGCTGAAATCAGCCGTACCAGCCTGAAGTGAATAGCCGAACAGTGTTAGGCTCACTTCACTTCAGATAGGTCATTCACTCGGCTGCCCTCGGCAGCTTAGTGAATAGACCCCATACAGTATGTCTACTTAAAGCAATAGGAATGGGAACCCTCCACAAAAGTCTAAATGGGGAAGGGATAGACAAAATAAATAAGGAAAATTTGAAAGTACTAGGTGTGAAATGAAAACAGAGATATTAGGAGAAGACAAAAAAAACATTTGTTGGCATTGATATCAAGATGAAGATCAAGATGTGTTTTAAGATTTGGAGGAGAAATAAGAGTCAGTGCACTTGAAGCAGATATTTTACATTTTGATAAATTCTAGATCCTTGAAATATCTAGCAGTTTCTTGTAATGCTCAGGGACACTGTTGGTAAGATCTATGCAGATGAGTTCCTGCTGTGGTCAATATTAGTGGTTCCCACGCTCCAAGTTGGATTTTTAATTTATTTTATATTTTGGGTAGTGCAAAAATAAACATGCTAAGGTGTGTTGAAACACCCAAGACTCCCAGACAGACAGGAGCAGGAGGCAGAAATCTTCATAGGGAGATCTCAGAGTAGGATTATGAGAGAGATGAGGAGCTGACATTACTGATCGTCTTCTGCTTTTATGCACTGTCCTTCTCTAATTCCTAGTATTCAAGAAAGTCAGTGCAATGATAAAAAAAATGTCTTGTATGTTTTTTGATGTGTGTTGAGGGCTCATAGCAGACGGAGAAGCGAATGCAAAAATTCATGTACACTAATGTGTGTCAGCACGTAAAGATGTATAGGTGTGAATGCATCCTTAATGAAGCCATGGGTAAAATTGTTATAATGTACCATGCCCTACATTTTTGTCAATTTACAAGAAAACAAAACTAAATAAAAATTCTAGTTGGCTTTTTACAGGTCAGTGATCCATAAGGTATTGAAGACAACCAGGCAACAAGCATGTTCAGAATGGGTTCAGTAATGGCAGCCTACATATTTCTATCATTACAGGTTTCCTTTAGGTCTCGTTCACACCTAGGCGTATTGCATATGCGCGTCTGTCGCGTGGTTTTTTTACAGCGATCCGCGGTAAAAAAAGTTGCGCGACAAACGCGCGTTTCTGAAGGCTACTTGGCTGTATCCCAATGGAAACGCGCAACAAAACGCCTCAAAGTAGTACATGTACCTTTTCAGGCGTGGGCCGTTTTGTAGTGCGTTAGGGACGGGCGGAAATACGCCAAGGTGGGAACGAGACCATTGAATACAATGGGATTTATATTTTTTAGCGTTTTGTAGAGCGTTCGTCGAGTGTAGAACGCGCTACAAAACATTCAGGTGTGAACGAGGGCTGAAAGCCTATCTCTGGATACAAAAAAACCCTCCCCTTACAGTGGCGCTTCCATCACACTGCAGGAGTTAAATGCACATTTTCTCTAGGGGGACTCTTTAAAGCAGTTTTACTTATGTGATAACGCTCCCCACCCCCCCCTCCGTTCCGGCTGTGCAATGTCCCTTGGTGTCCTCACGTCTAATGCAGAGCTATGATGATGTGAATAGGCCCCTGACCACCAAACTGGAGGGGGGAAGATGCTGCGGGCACCAGTCTTGCACTCAGGAGTGGGGATCAGGTAAGTAAAAGCGCTTTCAAGACTCCCCCTAGATATAAATAAGCAGTTAAACCTTGCAGTGTCACATAACTTTGCATAATACATACCTTTTCAGAGAACTGTTTTATCTAGTATGTCAGATGACTGGGGACATTTCTGCTGCATATGTTTTCAGGTACTTTCATATACTGTATAATTACCCTGTAGCGGCCAAACTGTATTTAAACTGATTGATGTAAGGTAATATGAAAATGGGCATCTGCACAGCTTGGCTACATAAAGTCCACCAATATTACCCATATAAATTCTGAACATGAACAGTATTGTAGTAATCTCTAAACCTCTAGCACATACAGCAATAAACATTACATATTTTCAGTGTACTTTATTATTGTATCTACAAACCTAAATTCAGCCAGGGCAGATGTTATCTGAAACAAAATATTTTCAAAAGCATCTGTGCTTCTAATGGAAACAGTTTTGTGTTTGTATATGTACAATTTGGATAACCTTTGCCCCGTAAAAATGAGGTGGTATGAAAGTTAGTATTTTCTTAATAAACAGTGGTATTTGGCTGTCTGTGTTTCTTGTCATTTGATCTCATCATACTTGAATAAAGTATTCCCAACTGGAAAGAAGCATATATTTTAAGCCCAAAAAATATTGCACTTTAAATGTACATCTGCATTATGAAGTAAATATTTTATCATCAGAAGTTAATGAACTATTCTGATACTATGTGCTCTCTCTATATACATATGTACCGTGAGATTTTGTTCCAGATGACAAGCTTTCCAGGCAATTAGTCCACTCAGAAATTGTATGTATGAGGATCCTCAGGAGTTTGGAAACAACAAAAAACAATAGACACTGTCATAGCTACTTACTGCACAGTCTTGAGAGCTTGCTGAATGTGTTTGATAATATTATGCTGGTGATTATCATAATAAATAAAAGTGCATGGAAGCAGAGGTTATTTATATGAATCTAGGACATTAGATGTAAAGGTATAGGACCAATGAAAGAGCAAGACGTCAGCACTTTGGTGGGACAGTAGCCATGAGGCAAGTAAGACCTGCTGTAATGTGAATGTAGCACAAAAAAATTGGACATTTGGTACATATATAAATGGATGCTGTATGATCAAAGCTTGATTTGGGTGCCATTGTAAAAAGTTATCTTGTTCTCTATCACTAGCTAAATATGTTTTTATGGAACTTTATGGTAATGTATGAGATCATAGTCAGACTGATAAATTGTTACTTATTGGCCACTGTAAGATGTATTTTCTGTGATTTTCCTTGATTCTTATGTTTAATTTTGCCTTAAGGGAAATTGAAGGAATGGTCACTTGTTTTGTATGGTACATCCATTCAGCCATACTCACCCAGGAATGATGTTCCTAAGGTGGAGAGAGTACGGTCCAGTCCTGTTGAGGAGCCATCAGAGGAGTATAATATTGATGACTACACAGGTGAGAGATATTTATAGTGTCCAATCAACTTATGAATCGCATTGACATTTTTCATTGTAATGCCTAAAGTGTTACATGCCATTGAGGGTAAAAAAAATAAAAATGTCTGGATTGTTACTTCATGGCAGCATTCCAAAGTTTTTACATGTTCCTAGCCCTAAAACACAACACTAACTCTTATACCTTCCAAATCTAAATCCAAAAAGTTTACTCGTACTCTAAAATGAGCCTTTAACACTGAACCCCAACACTTAACCATACCCATTACTTGACCTAACCCTTAAAGTGAAACCTTAACACTCACCTCCGGAACCCAAACACAAATTCAACCTTAACCCCCCAACTACTGAGCCTAGCACTTACCTAACTTCACCCCTAAAGTAATCCTTACCACTAAGTAATCCCTTCTTCAATGTATCCACCTTTTTGTTTGTCTCTGTGCTGAGAAACTAGATATTTGTTTTATATCTGCCTAATCTGATAACTAATATATACTACCTAATTTCCACTAGAGATGGCTGATTTGAAACAACATATTAGTATTATTCACTTGCTGGAAAATCTCTGTAAATGATGCCACAATTCAAGCCACCAGTCCTTTTCTTTCCCAGAAAGAAACAAATCCTTTTACTGCGCAGGCCTAAAATAAAATAAAATGTTAGGTATAAGAAATATATTGGTGGCCATCGTTCGCTTAGCATTAAGATATTTTACTGATATCACCAAAAGATCTAGCTGTAGACCTAAAAGTACAGTCTGCTTCCTTTTTTAAATGGTCATTAAATAAACAGGAACACTTGGTTTGCCCCAATACAGGTTTTCCCTAATAAAGGTTCAAACTTGGGGTAAACAAAAATTACTTAAAATATCCAAAATTTCTTTTAGCTGCTTCTATCACTAAGGGATATTTGTTGGCACTCACAGAAATGATGATTGTTGCTGATTCTTGAACAGCAGAATCAACTAAATCTAAGGTTGCCTTAACTCCTTGTGATATAACATATACTTTTCTGCTCTGATGAAGATCCACCTGTCTCACTTATTGCATCTACAACAAGTTACAAAAGTGTATTATCCCTTCGTGCGTTCTGGCACAGTCGGTTTCACCTATTTCATTAGCACCTCATAGCTAATTTCTTAGTGCAAGAATCATGATAGAAGTCACTGTTGGCAGTAAAACATGAAACACATTTCATTTAGAATTATTTTTGTAGTATTTGAGAATACAGTATTAGTACTAACTTATCATTATGATCAGCATATAGCTGGGTGAATTTAACCTGTCAGTGATTGGTCCGGAGACTGCCAATGGTCGACAGACAAGTGTAGGGGGACTAGCACAGACACAACATAGATAATGTTATTACTAATATGTCTTTTCAATTTAGGTCCCTGTAATGCAGAATGCAGCGATGTAGGGTGTGATGGACCTGGGCCACATCACTGCAATGACTGTCTACATTATTATTATAAAGCAAAGAACAACACAAGGTAAAATTCTATTATACCTTAATATATAATGTAGACTAATAGCTGTGTCACTAAAGGTACATTTCTAATTTCATTTTGGAGAATTCAGAAAGGAGTCTATAATTTAGGACAGAAATTAGGCATTGAGATCAATGCAACCTTCACCTGTGTGAGAATGAATCACACATTGCCTGACAGTTGCAGTTTCTTGTCTTTTCCAGATTATTTACTATAGATTTCTATGTCAGTGGACTGATATCTTCTGAAGGTGAACTTCCGGACTATACAAAGTAAATCTGTGTTTGATGTGTGGCCTTCAAGATAAAGTCCACCTTCAAAACACTTTAACTGTTAACTCACTATCAGCTAGTAAGTGTGGCATCAGGTATTTCTAGTATTCTACTTATTAATCAAAAGTTCTTTGAACATGACCTTCCTGACAGTACCTGTAGTTATACTGAAAATATGACATCTACAGGTTAGACCTACGACTTAGCTCTAATCTCAGAGGGACCCTTTCTATTTGCCAAATAAAGGATAAGGCAGCTGCCAAGTTCAGCATCAATAACATGCCTGGAGAGGTGGCGACTGCATTAGTCAGCTCAGCTCTAGCCACTGTAACCCCTGTTGTGATATATAGAGTTAGGCAGCACTAACTAGTGAAGTACTAAAACAAAACTTTTGAATACTTGATATATTCATCAAAACTTACTCCGTTAATGTGGTATTCTTTTATTTTGATTATATTAAATTCTGTGATCTTCAGTGCTTTGAAGCCACTGTCTGGTAATCCCTACAGAGAACTAAATGACATTTTATTGCATAAAAAGTACTGCAATTGAAAAAAGAACCAAATTGAAAAAAACTTTGATGTGATTTATTGGTATTTTACACAATTGCTTAAAGAGATCATACACTTTGTCATTCAGGGTAAAGTGGCAAAGTTCAGTTGATGTCAAACTGCACTTTGTGTAATAACCTACAGTGTTTTTTTATATTACATTCTATAGATCCTCTATTCATCAGATGAAATGTCATATTAGGCTAAGAGTATGTGAGGGAGAAAAGGTAGAGCAGAAGTAACTGACACAAATTATATCTGCATTATTATCTATAGGTGTCTTGTTATATCAGTTTGTATTGGTTGATCAGGTGTTTAGGCAGCAAATATTTTTCTTCAGAGACCCTATGGCACATTTTGCAGCTTTCCGGATCAGATGATTTTTGACATAGCCTGACACACATCCCACTGGAAAGAAGATGGCTGGCCTGTAATGTGCCTTTTGTGCACTGGACACATTAGATGACCACTTCTTGGTACCAGAGGTGCCGCAGAATTCTTTGCAGTTCCAGGTGGTCCCCACTTAGGTGGTCCCCTGTGCCTGAAGTTTTCCAAAAAAAGTGTGTCCACTTGGAGGAAGAAGCCTGGGGAATCCTGAAACTGCCTGGGCCATTCGCTGTGGGGTGGGGGGCCACACCAACAATGGTGATTTTAGCTTTTTGACCTTTATTGGGGAGTCCTAAGGTGTGTGTCTGACAGTGTTCTACTTCTCCCTAGGGGTTAATATGGTGCCACTGGCTTTCCACCCACAGCACTGTCCCTTGGCTGAAATACACTCCTCTGAGCCTCCATTAACCCCTTCTGAGGCAGCTCCCTCCTCTGTTTTATTCAGGTAGGAATTTAATGCTACTATGATAGCTCAGAACACAGGGGCTGCAAGTGGACTTCTTTGCTAACTCGGATTTTCCTGCAGCAGCTGAATTCTCCACTAGATCAGCTACAGATACCAAAGAGGGTACTTCATCCTCAATAGATGAATTGGTGTCTGAAGAGCCTCAACTCACTGAGATAAGCCCAAAACTAAAAGGCAACATTGCAATGTTCACTGTTGTGTCAGTTGTGCCTAAGGTTACCAGTCTGGGGTCTTTAAAAAGCCCCCAGCCAGAGAAATCCTTACTTGTTTATTCACTGTTCTAAAAACTACAGGGTTATTCACAAAAGTGTGAAGAGTTTGGAGAAGGCAGGAGAAGTTAACAATCTAGGCCCAAATAGCTGATTTGAAAAAGTCTTCTATTCAGTTCACTTTCCAGTTCAACTATCTTGTCCTAGATTGTTCACTTCTCCTGCCTTCTCCAACCTCTTCACCCTTTTGTGATTAGCCCTGTTAGTTTTTATGGTGATTAACCAAATCTCCTGTATAAGGCCTGATTGGCCTAACCTATAGGCCTTTGCCCCTCTAACGTGCTTTACACAACAACACCCTATTTTTAAAACAGCGGGCTGTCCCCTTCACTGATCCATTATCTGTCTAAACAGGGACTTCCAGTAGGGATTGTTCCAGAATTCAAAGATCCAGTAGACAAAAGGCTAGAAGCACTTCCCCTATGGCTAGGGCTCTAGGTTCTATCCTTTCAGTACCTGCTGTCCAAACTCGCTATTGGTCTGTCTACTGCACCACAGGTTTTTAACTAGATGCTAGCCGCTGTACTTGTTTTGCTTAATTCACAGGGAATTCCCATAGTGGGTTACCTGCCAACCTCCTACTGAGGGAACATATGGTACAGTCCACATCCAATAGACTGTGCAAACCCTGCAGAGGTTTGGGTGAATTTTTAACCTCCAAACATCTGCTCTGCAACTGACTCATCACATGAATTATCTAGGCCTCCTACTGGACACCTTTTTGTCCAGGATCCACAGGAAAAGCTTCAAACACTTTGTTCCCAGGTTCAGACACTTCAGTCCAGGGGTCAACCATCCTTCCACTTCTGAATGAAGGCCTCATCTGATGCCAGCTTCAGGCCTCATCTGATGCCAGCTTCAGGCCTCATCTAATGCCAGCTTCAGGCCTCTTCTGATGCCAGCTCCAGGCATCATATGATGCCAGCTTCAGGCCTCATCTGATGCCAGCTTCAGGCCTCATCTGATGCCAGCTTCAGGCCTCATCTAATGCCAGCTTCAGGCCTCTTCTGATGCCAGCTCCAGGCATCATATGATGCCAGCTTCAGAGCTTCAGGCCTCATCTGATGCCAGCTCCAGGCATCATATGATGCCAGCTTCATTCATAGGGTTCTTCCAACACATTACGTGGGCCTGTTGGCAGTTTTTTTTATTGGGTTGCCCACTTCTAAATTATATTGTTTGCGGAAATCCCTACCATCCTGTGTCCTGTATTGTAGGATAAAAATTAGGATTTTTGTCTTACTGGTAAAATCCTTTACTTGGTGTACATTACAGGACACATGTTCCTCCCCTCTGTTTCTTATGATCCACTCCTACTACAGCTTGCTTACAAAACTGATGGTTGCTGGGAGTGTGAGGGACTATACAGGGCTGTCCTAACAGCTTTGATTTGCCAGTGTCCAATCTTCTGAAGGGGGCAACAAAACCCTGAATTCTTGAATACCATGCTGTGTCTTGTATTGCACTGCAAGAAAAGATTTTACAGGTAATACAAAAATCCTATTTTCTTTCATTCTTGTCTTTAAGTGTCTTAAATTTGCTTTCACCACCCACAAATGAAATATGATAGTACAGCTATCATTCACTCAGGTATAATGCCTCTCTAATATCATTGTTACACCTAAACATTTGTAATACTGTATAGTCCTCCAAGTATGGGCCAAGGCTTTCTTTTATCTTACATAAAAACTGTTTGATTATTGTGTTTAAAGACTGAGGATAACAGTTCTCATAAAGAGCTCATCATCTGCTGCCTGTGCTTTTGACAGATTCAGGCAACAGTTGGGCTAAGATAGGCTTGAAAGACTACAGAAGTCCTTGACGTCACCACCAGACAAAAGAAGGATTTGCCAAGTTCATAATTTTGGGTCATTCCTCTTGTATTTATAGATACATACCAGAAAGACATAAGACTGGATGTGTATCTCTACACTACCACCAAAACAAATGTTTTGGTAGTAGGGATTGTTTCCTAAAATCTGACAGCCATCTGTTGTATTCTCCATTTATTATTTTAGAGCTGAATATAGGCCTCTTATAGATGATTTGCATAGTTTACATGGTATCCACAACAAAACATTTCAAGGATTTTTATCTATTTAACTTTAGGCACACAGCCATAGGTCCTGTCAATGGATGATAAAAACTAAAGTCAAAATGATTAATAATTTGTCTAACTCTTCTTAAAACTTTAACAATTCAGCAGAATTTTTAAATTTTCTACTGGAAAACCTATAGAGCAAAGTATTTTTTTTCATACTAGCACTGTACTTCTGATTCAAGTTTATGATATTCATCTAAAATGTCTTACTTTCATTGTACTAGTATTTGCTTGGGATTTAAGGCGATCAATTTTGATTTTCAAGGGCATTTTTCTGTCGGACATAAAATGTATTTAATGATCATGTTGTTTGAGTTGTGCGCTATAACCAGTTTGTGTTTCCTTACAGGATTTGTGTATCAGAATGTCCCTTAGGTCACTATTCTGCAGACAAGAAAAGATGTAAAAAATGTTTTCCGACATGTGAAACATGCTTGGGAAGTCGCACTGATCAATGCTCATCATGTAAATCAGGTTACTACTTAAATGAAGAGACAAACAGTTGTGTCACAAACTGCCCAGATGGCTTCTATTTGAATGACAGTAAGTTTGTGAATATGTCAAGTGATACTATCTTTATGAATTCACAGGTTTTCATTCATAATTACCTAAAGAGCAGCAAGACATAATTTCCAGAAAACCAAAATGTGCCCTGCCAGTTTTGTAACAATTCATACAATGTTGCCTGCAATAGAGATTTTCCATTTTCCCAGTGAAAATGTAAGGGACACCTTTAATCTTTGTAAAATTATTCACTATCCTATGCAGAGATGCACATTTATATTTTTAATTTTATTATTTTTTTTATCTTTAAAAACATACATTTTACAGGACTTTAGCAATCTTACAATATCCATAGCCATGAACATACCAGATATAATTTACACTGTTGTCAATTCAATGAGGTAAGCTGCTTTTTTGGGGCAGGTGTGAATTCAGGCATGCTTTTTTATCAGAAGGAACATGCATATTTGTGAGTAAATCGTGGAAGAGTACTCTGTAGAAAATACACAACCTGATCCTACAGGAAACTAACTGTTTTTTTAGCTAATAACAGATTGGCATTTGATGATTTTTAGTGCCAAAACAAGCCTGAGTTTCTCATCAGTCTCCTAAAGAATATACAGTATCTCTGCATGTTAAAAACGACAAAACTGCACTAAAGTATGCTCTGATAATATTATCATGTGAGTGTGTTTCCTACTGTTAAGCATAGGCTTTGGAATTCCTTGTTTTCATAAACAGGTTACATAAGTTAACACACAAAAAATATAGTGTAAACATGAACTAGTAAACAAATAGCACTCACGTTTTAAAGTATATTGCATACTATTGCATATATAATAGGGTATGTTCTTTACATGGCAGTGTCTCTAGTTAGAAATGTGTGGAGGTGGTAAAAAGTGGAGAGAGATAAAGTGTTTTCTTTTGCAGTGCTTTATTAACTTTTTGTAGGTATATTTCAGCAGTAAGGAAACAAATTATTGGAGACGGAAGCGCCACTACCTGGCGCAATAAATGTGGTAGAGCAGGGTGTGAGCGTAAGTGATGTACTCACCTATGGCTGGGTGAGCATTCGCTTGCAACCGTCGGGTTGAGGTGAAGCGGATGGAGTGGAGCAGTAGTGGGAACGGTCCCTCTTTTGCAGGGTGGTGTGGTGGTTGAACCCAATAAGGCAGATGGAGTTACAAAAGCGAGGAGGTGAAGTATACAATGGTGGGTGGAGAACGGCTCTCAGCGATGACGGTGCGACCAGTGTCGCGCCTGGGCGGTGGGCTGTGGGGTGGTCCTCAGGGTGATTACTGGCACAGGTGTCCTCTGGTGGCAGGTGCTGTGGAGCGATGTGTTGTCCTGGACGGGGGGACTGGAGAGCAGTGGAGACGCCGGGGGGTGACAAAGTACATAGCCGCAGTGGAGATGGACTCACGCTGGGGCTTCCTAAGTTTGGAGTCCATCTCCACTGCGGCTGTGTACTTTGTCCCCCCGTACACACAATTTTTCATATTTCAGCAGTAACACTGTAGTTTTCTAGGTTGTGCCTCAGAATCCACATTAAGTTTTCTATTGATACAAATAGGCAGTCAAATTTTGAGATCTTATTTTTTTTGAAAAAAGATGAATGACAAATTGACCTGTGTGGCACCAGTATTAATGCATATTGACCTTTGGTTTCCCATCTGTAAAGGAATATATCGGTCTACATGTCCACAAGCTTGGGATATTATAATGGGCATTATGTTCAACCATTAGCCCAAAAAGAATCCAAGAAAAAAGGTAGCAAATATGCCAAGAATAATTACAGCCATCACATAGCCCATTTAAGCTTCTTCTATTGTTATTGGTGAACTCACATGCCTTTTGGTTCCTTACTAAACATGCCTCCTGGCTTGCAGATTGAGTCAACCAATTATTGGCAAAGGGGGGTTTCAATACTCTCTTCATGGAGGGCAATGCAGATGTACTTTTCTTTTCTTTAAAAAATGTCTGCTAAAAAAAAAGGAATCTCACAAGTCGATTTCAGTTTCTACGCAGAAAAAATATTTTAGTAAGTAATACACAGAAGGCTGATAGAAGGTTTGCTAGATAAGTAGGCCAGTGCTTGTTTCAAATAACCAGTCTTAATGCAAACTAAAGGCTTTCATAAACCTAATATTAATCTTTCTGCTGATGTCTAGCCTAATCTGATAATGAAAACTTACCTGTTGTCAGCTCCATTATCTTTCTAGTGGCTAGTCCTATAAGGTTACTGCTGTGAGGTTTATGTGAGTGTATTCAAAAAATTGATTGGCTGGCTCCGCCTTAGCACTACTTGTTGACAGTGAGCATGTAAGCTGGCCATACACTAGAAGATTTCCGATGGAACTTTCGTTCAAAAGATCTTTCTTTACCACCCGATAATGCCATCAGACACTTGAAGAATGTCGATTGAAATTTCTTTTGATGTTAACATTCAATTTTGGAATAAATGGAGTTTCCTGAACAAAAATCACATCACTGTTACAATTCAGTTTGTTCAACAAAAAATTTCCATCCTGCTCCTTCAAGTTTTTTCATCACTTTGGTTGAAATTGATCGTCAGTTAATAGAAAGTTGAAAGAAAGTTATTATGGCCAACTTTAATCTCTGCTGCAATTTTGGGACTGGCCACCAGAAAGGTCCCAAAGCTGTCACCAGATAGGTATTTCATGGATCTTCTCATCTGATTGGTTAAAAGTTGTGGTAAGGGATGAAATAGTATAATAAAACAACAACAATTCAGGATCCATATTTATAGTCATACATTGTTGAGGTAGTAAAAAAAATGGTAGTTTTAATAATAGAAATAATGCTAATACAGTTGAATTATTAGAATAATTATAATAATTCAATAAAGTTGAATTATTAGAATAATAATTCAGATTTAACAAAATTAACATAAAATTATGTAAATAATGCTGCATTGTGAGAATTGCGTAATCGAGAAATGTTAAGGTACCTTAAATGTCGGTGTCATTTACAAATCACAAAGATTACTATATACCTGTATAAAAATAAGTGTAAGATATATGCAGTATTTGTTATCTTAAGTATTTGTTACAATAAGAAGTACAATCAATATTGTATTCCTTACATTCTAAACACAAAAGCTGATTTATATCCCATCAATATTTTCATGGCCAATGTGACAACCTATGTTAATAAAAAATATAAGACATTTCTCAGATGCTAACATTCTTTTACTTTGCAGACAAGAACGTTTGTAAAAAATGCAATGAAAACTGCAAAACATGCACTTCTGCTGACATCTGTACCGAATGCAAGCATGGCCTGAGGTATGAAATCACTAAGTTAGGTGGCCTTACATCAAAGACACATTAATAGGGAATAGTTTTGGAGGTCCTTGGTGAGCTTAAGTCTCTCTTTGATGCACAATTTTGCAGTGAATGAAAGCATTCAGTCATGCAGGAGGTGAGACATTTCTATAGTAACATAAATGCTTAAAGAGGCTCTGGGTAGTGATAAAATACTAATGTGACGTGCTGCTGAGTGCATGTTTCTCTACCTCAGATGACTCATAAGATCTTTTGGCTGAGACGGCTATATTAAAAGTTATAAAGCTTCTGTCAATAAAACATAAAAATAAGGTTTTCCCTCTTTTATTCTCCTTTACGCACATGGAGGTTAACACATTTCCACCATGGGGGAAACGCACATTTTACGAGAGCGCATTTGTTTGCCTCTCTAGACTGTTTTCATAACATGTAACAAATAAGTGTCAGAGGAGACTGTGTTGCATGTGTGTTGTGGTTACAAGAGCCTTGGAATCAAAATGTTCCTTTGTTGTCTTAAAAGCCTTATGTGTTGTGTTATTCTAACATATTGCAAAAGCCTCACAGTCACTCAATATTACACCCAAAGTATGGTCTGCAACTGATTATATTTTAACCCAAGAATATGTTTATTCAGTAAAGATTCTCTGATAATAACACAACTTTTGTTACAAAAAGTTCAAAATAGGGAGCTGTTTTGCAGTTAACTCAGATAACATAGGCAAAGTTGGTAGTTCACATTACCATGGAAAATATAAACAATTTCTAATGATAATAGTAGAAATAATAATAATAAAAATAATTATCATCATCATCATAGACTAGCCCATCAGCTAAGGAAAATGCAATAACAATTAGATTCTTGTAATGTTTAAAGATGGCCAAACACTTATTTAATTCCCCCATCAGTGCTAAACAGTGTGGTTGGGGGAATTCCCCTGCTGGACTACTGTTTTCTGGCAGTGGTGAGTGTGCAGCTGTCAGAATACCCAAACAGTGAATGGAGCTGATTGGCTAAAGTCTTTGTGCGGCTGAGATTTGTTACACCAGCTACATTAATAAAAGTCGTTCGAAAAATGGACTTTGTTGAATGGGGAAGGAGGAGGGTGTCCCCGAGCAGCCCACATACTTTGCATCTTTGAAATGTGAGCTAGCTTAAATGTTACAAGCCCACAATTCAGTAGCTGATTTTTCTATGTCTGTCTGTGTGGTTGCTGAGAAGTTGAATCACATTCTGGCTTCCTATATGTGTTGCAGATATTCCCACTAAAACTCCTAGGTTGTTCCCAGTTTCATCCAAATATTACAGCTGTTACAAAGCTAAATTATGCTTTCACAACAGGTTAATGCAGAATAAACTAGTTTAGCAAAAAAAAACTTTGTCATCATTGAGGCTTTGCTGGAAGGTGCAGAGACACATACTACTCCATGGGAGCAATCAGACTTTGGGGCATCTACTAGATAGGATAAGCAGCTATCAGATGTCAGCCCACCAATGTCCTCCCAAATATGATCCTTGCAGTGTATTTCCACTTTTGCAGTCAAATTTTAGGAAACACCACTTTATTTTTGGTATATGTTTCTATTTACAAAGCATACCTAAAAATAGCTTTGGAGCAGGCCTTTGGGCAGACTGTAGGCTATTCTCTACAATTTAAAAGTAAAAGAGGGGCAGGCTCCTTATACTTAGTTTTTCCTTAATAACAAATAATGCAGAACACAAGCTCTGAGATTGTTAACCCTTTGTTAGAACATACAATGTTCAAATCTAGTTTATAACTGATAATGAAAATCTGCCAGCACAGTACAGATAGGGTTAATTGGGGTAAACATTAACTTCCCAGTTTCCTCTTTAACATGACATAACAGGAGAAAACTTCAGTTTTGGAGTTTTCGGAAAAGAGCTAATAAAAGGTAAGAAACAAATGTTAAAATATGTTTTGATTATGTAAAATGAATGGGAACATGTAACAAATATAAGTAGGTGTTATCCCAGTTTGGTTGCAAAAGTGGAAATGCAATTTAAACATTTCACCTGCCCAGATGTTCTTATGCTAGTATGTGAAAGTAAAGATCTAAACTTCTATTCTGCATTTAGAGTCTAGTATTTTTTATCTGACAGCCTGCATTCTTTGATAGTGTTAATGCATTTTGCGTTTTTTAAGAGCTCATTCTTTGTGTTAGCAGAGACCATCACAAATATCAGTATGTAAGGCAGTCAAAATTCTAACATTTTCCTTGTGTAGATCAGTAGATTTTAGTTTCTTTCTCAAGATTTACAAATATAACCGCAGTGTCATAACGTGATAATGTGTTATTATATAAGGATATATATTTGGAAAAGGAAATATTTATCAGGAAAAATATCAGGAAAAATGATATCCACTAAAGGAGAACTTTTCTCCCATACTCATAGTTCTAGCCGACCTGTGACAATGAAACTCTCACAGGTCGGCTCAGTAGATCAGGAAGTGAGCGAAAAACACATACCGGTGTTCGCTCACTTCTCGATCCTGTCACGACAGAGAGCCGTGACAGGGGAGGGACTGGATTCCCCCCCTCCCTGCTCTGATCCTCCAGTGCTGACTGGTGGAACAGACGGGGAGGGGGCGGGTACAGCTGGCTCTGCCTCTAGATAGGCAGATCCAGCTGTCACTCACGCAGCTGGCCGGATCCAGACATAATTGTTGGGATCAGTTTCAGCTGCAGCGTCTCAGTATACCGCGAGCTGCAGCTTTGGGTAATGAAAGGACACTAGTTTGTGTCCTCGTGTTACCCTTCGGAGAACTATGGGGAAAAGCCCTAACCCCATAGTTCTCCTTTAATAAATTGTATTTTGAAAGCCTTAGACAGATATTTGTCAGAAATGTATTCATTTGATGTAGTTGGTGTGTTAAAGACGTTGTCTTGAAACAACGGTATTCTTCTGCTTCAGTTAGTCAATTTCTCCTTTATTACTGAGCACTACTGAACACTTTAACTGTAATAATGCTGGCAGTCAAAAAATATCCTACTGCCAACCATGTTTTACTATCTGTATCACTGGCCCATCTTAGCCCCCATTCACACATCTGTGCTGTGACATCACAGAGGTGCTGCAGGGTGTGTTGTGGTGTGTTGCGGTACCGCAACTAAATCGCACTTAAAGTAGTACATGCACCTTTTTTTAAATTACATGACACCACATTACATGGTAATAGGTTACCCGGCAATGTGGTGCCTAGTGTGTTTGGGTGCCTTTGAGCTATAATGGCACTGATTTACTTGCCAAATGCCAATCTAAAGTACCACAAAGCTATTGTTATAAAGCTTGTATTATGCAGAACCAAAGACAATAAAGTTACTGCAGTTGTTAAAAATTCTGCCAATAGTTACATAGTTACATAGTTACATAGTATTTGGGGTTGAAGAAAGACATACGTCCATCAAGTCCAACCCATATGGGTCCACGCATCATCTCATTCTTAGGGATACTGGTATCCCTGGATATTACGGTCCCTCAAGAAATTGTCCAAACGTTTCTTGAACAAATCTACACTCTTGGCTGAAATCACTGCCGATGGCAGTGAGTTCCAGACCTTAACCGCTCTTACTGTAAAGAACCCTCTTCGCCCATTGTGCTGGAATTTTTTCTCCACCAACTTTAGGTGGTGGCCTCTAGTCTTTGTAATGGAGTTAATCTCAAACAGTTTGTTGCCAATGTTGCTGTCACCATTGAACATCTTGTACATGAAAATCATATCCCCCCTTAATCTCCTTAATTCCAGCGTAAACATGTTTAAGGTCAGAAGCCTTGTCTCATAGCTCTGGTCCTCCATTCCCCTAATTAGTTTTGTTGCCCTCCGCTGGACTCTCTCCAGTTCAAGGACATCCCTTCTCAGTACTGGTGACAAAAACTGGACAGCATACTCCAGATGTGGCCGAACCAACAATCTATATAGAGGCACAATTATAGACCTGTCCGTGCAATACATCCCCTTCTTAATACAGGACAAGACCCTGCTAGCTTTGTTTACCGCAGCTTGGCACTGCAAGCTACCATTAAGCTTGTGGTCTACAATGACCCCCAAATCTATTTCTATTTCTGACTTCCCTAGCGTCATACCCATGATTGTATAGCCTATTTGTTTATTTTTATGTCCAAAGTACATTACTTTGCATTTATCGACATTAAACCTCATCTGCCATAGTATTGCCCACTCCCCTATTTTATCCAGGTCCTCCTGCAATGTTATATTGTCACGATCCGTTTCTAGTACCCTCCCTATTACCCTCCCTAATACACGTCGATCTCCAATTTATTAATAACACTTACCGGAATGCTAGAATTCCATGAGCATGATGTTTAGTGCTGTTTTTTTTTTTATAATCCTACGGGAGAAACAAGGTCATCAAATCCTATAATAAGAACCATATATTTGCTTGCAACAGATGTTCACTGTCTACCCATGATCAATCAACCCAATCCTCCTATCTGTGTTAAGAAAAATTGGCACACTAGGTATATTTGCATTCAAACCATTGCAGGCATCATGCTGTTACACAGACATCCAAACACTTTGTTCCCTTTCAGATGCACAGTTACATATGTCAGGCGCTCAGTCTTTCCCAAGAAGGGAGTAAGAAAAAGTATAGTATCAAAGTTGTATGTGTGTTGTAGAAACCATTAATTTTTGTAAAGATGGATATGGAGTACTAATCCTTCTCCAAATGCTGTTCATACAGTGCTCTCACCCAGCATGTGCAATTTAAATATAAATCTGATATTAGCTCAGATATAATGGAGTTTGTATTATTTTCTAAATACGGTTCCAGCATCAAACATGATGGCAGACAGTGTAGTGTTGATCCAAACAGAGTTCAAGTTGCACTGTAAAATCTGTATTTTAGATAATAACTTCAAAATGTAATTGCATATAATTCTCCGATTAGCCAGTGACTCTAGATGTTTCGAGGTGTAGAGTCTGGAAATAAGTGGGGTTTTTTAACAACAGACATACAGTATATAACCAGGAACACAAAACATATCATGAACACATCTGGACCTTCACTGGTCCATTGTGCATTTCTGACAACCTATAGATAAGAATCAAGAACATAATGGTATACTGAATGATAAGGGAAAAAAGTCCCCCACAGAGTACAGAAAATGATAGCTAAGCCTTCCAAAAACAGAAGGTAATCCTACATTGTCACTCTATTACAAATGCAAATTATTATAAAAGTTTCAAAGATTCAGTCTAAAAAGGGTGATTATCAGGCATGTAGTTGTTTTAAGCTGGTTATGAGTGCAGGGTATGGACAGTAGTATGGTGTAGTTGAGTATATTTATCCAGTGTGAATGCAGTTGTTCTGTACTTATCAGTGCTGGATGGGGACCATGGTTTCTGTGGTGTAAGGCTTGGAGTGGAACCAAAAGACAACCCATTGTAAAATTCAGCAAGAAATTCTAAAAAGCATTATTTTATTTAAGGCTGCATTCAAACATCTGTTTTTAAGAGCATGTGTTTTCCAAATAGAAATACGTGCAAATGAGCAGTGCAGTGCACTTTTATTGCACATTAACAGGTTTTTTCATGCATTTCTATCGATCTATGTGTTGGGAAAAATATGCGGCTCCCCTTACTGACCTTCTCCTGAATATGCCTTTAGGTTTCTGGTTTTAATACTATAACTGACCCAGAACAAATGTGCAGCAAGTCAAGTCAGAATGCCTTATCTACATACTTTTCAAAGTTAGCAAATGTGAATGTATTAAAGCCAGTGGATCACCACAACAGCAGTCACTGTTATGGTGGTTCACTTTTAAAACTATAATTTTTATTCATAATTATTTGGAGAGCATGTTGCGCAACTGGACTGATTTTTCCCCTAATGAACTCAAGATTACATATGTAATGTACTCTAGTTATGTATTATAGATAAAGTTTTAATAACAAAACATGGCACTGAAATAAAAGAAAAATACAAATGTAGAAGACGCAAAAAGGCTAAAAGGTGGAGCACATTAGGAAGAGGGATAAAAAAAAGCTAGATTTGAATTACATAAAGTGTAAAGAAAAGGGTTGCAGCTAAGAAAACTGATCTACAAATATATAAAGCTTGCTTAACTCACCATTCATGCATCTTATAAGTTCATTCAGATGTTTTTTTCTTCTTTAGCTTAATATGTATATGTATATGTGTGTGTGTTTGTCACCTGTTTTGCCTGGAAAAATTGCATTTTGTGTCACTTGCCTGCTCATTAAACTATGAAAAGGCATCACTATATTATCCCTCAAGCCTCCAGTGTCTGAAAACATTTTAGATCAACAGTATTCTGTTCAAAGAGCGCTGATTGGTTGACAGTAGGGGTGTTCAGATACCAATACCAGGCATTTTAACGAAAACTACCAGGATCCTAGCGGTTGCAACTGCGACTGGACCCTGGCGCTCCACTACTGTCCTGAAATCATTAGTCTGTATTGTTTTAGAAAAACTGTCACATGACAATAAACAAAAATGTATCAGTATTTGATATCTGTGAGCATTTGGACAAGTATTAGTACTTGTACTTGGTATCGGTGCATCCCTAATATAACAAATCATACATGAAAATAGGGATGCACAAATCCCAGGAGCTCAGTATGCTCCTTAAAAATGGCAGCTGCCTCCCAACTTTTGAGGTTTTCTCTAGTCTAATTTTTCAATGGAGCTGGAAAAGTAATAAGTACTTGTTCCAAGTTCGGTACTTGGTATCTAAACATCCCTAGTTCACAGCACCAAACATCCACTCTTAGCCTAAGATCTGGTGAACAGGGAATTGTGGGAAGATAATAAAAAGCTAGAATCATTTCAATTGACTGTAATCGCAATATTTCAAAATTAACCCCTTCGTGACGGGAGACGTACACTGTACGTCCAGCCACAAAGGGACCAAATGACTTGTCACGTACACTGTACGTGACGAGTTATTTGCTGCTTTAGAGGGCTGTTAATCGCTGAGAATCAGCTTTTAACATTCATTAATGGCTGCCCTTACTACAGAGGCATTCATTAATGAAAGGGTTAACCTTTTTCAGACACCCGATACCTTAATATCGGGTGTCTGAGAGTCAAAGCAAAGCGGACACAGATGCCGGCTTTTGCCGGCATTCTGACAGCTCGTATAGATCGAGAGATATCTCTCTCAAGCTATACTGGCTTTTTTTTTTTTCTTTCATGAATAGATACAAAATGTGTCTATTCCTACAATGTATCTATTCCTGGAAGAAGAATGTTTGTTTGCTGATCGTTGTTGCAACAATCAGAAAACATTTAGTAACAGCTGAATCCTGAACTGCTGCAGGATCAGTGTCACTAACTTATTATCGGCTGTTCTGAAGTTTGAAGCAGCCTGATAATAACCAAAAATTTATTAATTTATCATGCAGTAACAGTGAGATTAATTCACAAAATCTGCTTGATATAATTAAATAAATAAAATAACATTTTTAAGTTAAAAAAAAAAGTGAAAAGTGTAAAAAAAATAAAAAAATGTGTAAAAAATAAAATAAAATAAGGGACAAATAAATGAATGTATTTATTGCATTTTTTTAGCTGTGCTGGTTTTGTAAAAAAAATACTACAAATCAAAACTGGGAAAAAAGTGTTTTTTTTAAACGTTTTTTTCCTCTTTTTTTATATTTTATTTGTCCTAAGTGAGGCGTTAGACGCACATATGTGATATAAATATGTAGCCCTATCTGTCCTCTAAAAAACAATATATAATATGTGTGGGTGCACTTTGTAAGAAAGTATATTACTGACGTGGAAGAATCACACAGCAAAAATGTCAAAAGTGTGGCAGTCATTTACGAACAGAAACTAAAAACAAGCTCAGTCATGAAGGGGTTAATGTCATAATTTTTTTTTACTTTGCTTATAGTTCTTCATCAGCAGGAAAGGCATTGCCATTCATCAAATCTAAGCAATACGTTCTTAGTAGTAATCATGGTTTATTACCTCCAAATGCTTAGGAATTCCTTTGCATGATATATGCATTTATAAATGTAAAATTACACTGTCACCACAGGATCACTTCTAACCTAACCCTAGCCTGTAAAATAATCTATTTCCCCAATAGGGACACTTGTTTCAGTGACAACTATCTAGGAGAGGATTTCCTTAGTTTGGAGAGACCGTCATGTCACAATATTGAGCTGCAGTATAACAAAAAAGGAATCCTTGAGCTCCAGTTCAGTGACTGCGCCTGCGATGAGAAGTGCAATCTGTCATCTATTACCATAATTTACCAAATTCATCTCTTTTGACCTATTTCATGTAGGACCTGGAATAGACAACTGTATAAACTGTGCAAAAGAAATGTTGTTTGAAGATGGACGCTGTGTAACATCATGTAGTTCTGAATATTATTTTACTCCATCCAAGGCCAATGGTTTTAAAACCTGTAAGAGGTAAGTTATTATGTCATGTAATAACAAGAAGCAGTGACTATGTTGTATGTGTCTTTTCCTGGTTTGAAAAAATCTGACAGAGACTTCACTTGCATTGGGTAAAGACAAGTTTATACAGTATATATGCAATGCAGTAGGTAACGACATTTACATAAGGCTGAGTTCACAAAGGTAATACTTCGGGTTAAGGTTCCTGATTTTAAAAAAAAGTGCATTATTTTCAGCTGAGCAGTGGCATGGCTGAAATTCAAGATTCCGATCCTTTGTAAGACATTTTGAAATTAGCTCCCTGCTGAAGTAAATGGGAAAACACCTATTTAGCATCTTAGGCCTCATTCATGGCACCCAACAATCACATGTATGCAGCCAACAGCCTGTACAATTCAATGACAAACTGACATGGCTATGCTCATTTAAGCACATATTACATGCATACAGATAAGCGGCCCTGGATATAAACTGTCTGCACCCAGGGCCACTCATTTGTCCCTGTATGCATATAACTGCTTGGATATGGCATCTGTCCACCTGGTATTGGTTTGTACAGGCTGCTGGCCACAGAAAGGCTGCTGGCACAGAAATACCCTTCTTTTTGGTGGTGTTTGGCCCTTTGCGGCTGTGTGAATGAGGTCTAACTAGTCAGCAGAGGTGACAGAAGATTGAGTGATTGTATTGATTTGATGTGGGAAGAAAGGCACGCTATATTTAGCAGTATGGACCAGTCTGTGAGGGATGAATCTGCATTAATATCAAGTTATATGGAATGAATATGAGCTTTTTGTATATTTATCTAATGGAATGTTGTTGTGCATTTTACAACTCAGAACGTGTTTAGTCAGCACATAGACTTAAGTGGGCAGCAAATCCTTGGCCAAACCTGTGTGCTTGGATTGATCAAGTCACAGTGCCAGCTTATCTGTGAAATCCAGGACCTCTTAGGCAAAAAAATGCACACGACTGCTGCATAAAACTGTACACTTGGCTCAGAAAGATGACGTTGTCTTGTTTTACAATCTATATATAAGCAATATGTAAAAAAAGGGAATTCAGCCTGTGGCCCATGTTCTTAGAAAATTAAAAAAAATATAGAAAGCAGACCAGATTTTTTTTTGTGATGCTATGTATTCAGAATTAGTGAGCGAGGAGCATCTGTATCTTTTTTATTTATATGTACTTGCTATGGGCAGATATATGCCTTCCTTGTAAAAGAGCATAATGGATAAGTTGCAGGAGTGCAGTTCTGAAAAGTAGATGTCATTATTCTTGGATACACAGTGCAGTGCTGTTCAAAGTAAAGAGGACACTGTTGTGGGACATACCTTTTGTACCTCTCTTGGGAGAATATAACTCTTTCTGTATCAACAGAAATAAATAAATATGAGGCCAGCATATCTAAATAACGTTATCTGGGAATGATTTATGTTATTTTGCAGAATAATAAAACCTTATTCCAAGGCACAGTGTTCTGAGCAATGACAGCTGAGGCGGGGTTATTTTTTTAATGCATTGAATGAGAAGGGTGCCAATTAAAGTAAATATCTTCGTCTAATGAAACCTTTCAGTTCCCCATCCACATCAGATTAAAACAGTGAGAGACTGCCACAGTCAATTACATCAAAAAGATGCAGAGAATTCTGCTTTCAATTACACCCATTAATGCTCATTACATATCTTCACAAGACTTCAGTACTAAAGAGGACAGATACATCATTTTCCAGCATAAAATGGCCCCAGCTGTGCTCCTCAGAGTGCAGATGTGTTATAAGTTACCCTTATATACTGTTGTCTTTCAAGATGGGATTAATAGAGATCGTATAAGTGTCATTATCAAGGAATCATTCTTGACAAGTCGTAAAAAAATGTCAACACTCCAAGCTATATTTGCCAATGTAAAATATGTGGTATAATTTGAACATTCTCAAAATATGTCTTATAACCATTTTATTGCAGAATGCCCTAGAATTCCCACTTTGTGTCACACGATACTCGTACTTGCCCAAATGCTACGATACTTACCCCCCACACTGGCCAATCAGGAAGCTGGGCGGTGGGTAATAACTCACCGCCCAGCTTTCTGATTGGCTAGGAAGACGGCTCCATGCTGTGTGTGGCCAGCCAATCAGCATGGAGCCGGCCAAACAGCAGGAAGCCTGCATCCCGGCCAACCAGCATGAGCCGGCCAAACAGCAATGAGCTGGTTTCAAGGCCAACCCGGAAGCCGGGTGGCAGGTAATGACCTGCCTCCCGGTTTCCTGATTGGCTGGGGAGCCATCTTGATGCTGATTGGCTGGGAAGTTGGCTAGCCAGCCAATCAGCATGGAGCCAGCCAAACAGCATGGAGCCGTCTTCCTGGGCAATCAAGTCATTACCCACCACTGGGCTTCCTGATTGCCCGGGAAGCCGGCTTCATTCTAGCGGAAGTACCTGCATCAGTACTCTGTATCAGCGAATACCGACAGATATCCGTATTTGTACTCGATAACGGAAAAAATGGTATTGGTGCATCCCTATTAATAACATAAAGCATATGTAGACTATGTATAACATAACGCACAGCTTACCAATCCACAAATCCATAGATGAGGAACCTGCTATAGTTTCTTTTTTTTTAGGCTTGTTTTTTTTAACTTTATTTTCACCTGGAAATCCTGTCCTTGGATGGCTACCTTTAGTCCAGTATATCTATGGAGACATCGATGCCACCAAGTCTGAACTAATAATCTCTACCTTTGTTCATCTGTATTACATGGTGGGTGGTGGAGTTAGTAGCTTACATAAGAAAGATAGGATTTTTTGTTTCCAGTTTAGCTCACAGGAAGCGACAAGTACACAGCATTTTTGGCAAGATCAACAGGTATTTCTGTACTTGCTGAAAATGTTCTCAGCCTGAAAAATGAAAACTAATGCACCCACCACATCTAAAGACTGGTAAACTGCAATATATAACATCTTTTTTTTTTGGTTCAGTTATGCTTTAAATTTATATATTTTATATATTAATAATGATATATTATTATATAATATATAATATATTTTAAAGCAATCTCCTTGACCAAAGGTTGCTCACATGCACACTGCTTATATATGTATTATGTGCTTTCATGTTGTATAAAGCGAACACAGTCTGTGAACATGATACCAGGTTTTCCATTGCCATATGACATGGATATGTGCAAGTATTTCTGAAAATAAGAATGACAGTTTTGGTAATTTCTAAAGAAGTAATTGTTAATCCTGTAACTGTCCCTAGAAATTGCAGACATTTAGAGATTACACACTATGCAAGATCATTTAACTTTGATTTGCACTAAATGCACACTTTGGTGCACACTCATCTTTCTTAATTATGTAGCCACTGTTTTTTTTCCCAATAGTGTTGTATTTACATTGCAAGGGGAAGTCTGTAACGTTGTCTTCTGTGTTCATTAAATGTGTGCTCTGCCATTGCTTACCAGTCAAAGGAATGTCAGCTTTTTTGTCTTTTATATCTATAGTAATTTTTTACATATGCACATACTATGTTTATGTCTCTCAGATGTGACGGAAGTTGCTCAGCATGTTCTGGCCCAGGAGAGAGGAATTGTACAAGCTGTCCTGAGGGTTATTTGTTAGACGGCAGTGCTTGTATGGTGGGAACAATCTGTAAAGATGGTGAGTTAATGAGATCTAAAAGAGCTTTAATATGTCACATGGTGTAAATACGGAACAATGCTTCCACAGACACATCATTTGAGTAGTGTGAACAGACCAATATTTCAAGTGCATTCACCCTATTAGTTAAACTGACTGAAAAATCCTGGATATCCGCTCAGGAAAAAAATCCAATATTTTGAAAACAAATGTGTTTTTTTTTAATGCCAACTCTCAGGCTGTCCTGATAAGTACTTTGATAAATGGTGGCAAGTGTGTCTGACGGTAGGATGAGTGAAGGGTTGCTCAGACATGGATTGAAGTCTGTAGTACGTTGTCTCTACTTTGTTTATCTGGAAAACCCAAACCTTTATAGCCACATTGCCCTTCAGATATAAAGCAGCATCCTGTAACAATTTATTTTTACTGCCACTCGTGACATGCATTGAAAAGAGTGTCAATGTTAATGTAGGTTGTGGGCAGTATTACTCAGATTCAAAACTGAGAATTACAAGCACAAGGTTTTCATTGCAAGCAGCATGTTGTACTGAGAAATGCTGCGTGTCTATTGTAGTGCTAGGCAGGCATCACTGCAAACACTGTGATTGATATCCTTTCCTCAATGTACCTAGCAATTTTAGAATGATTGGATCAACAAAGAGTTCTTCACACTGTGCAAATACAGATTCATTCAAGCACATCTATTATAAACGGTATAATGTGGCCCATTTATCAGCAGATACAGGAGGCTGATGTTAATGTTATGGGAAATTCATAGCATATATAACTAGGATTCTTAGGGGTTTCTCTTAGGTTAATGGCATGGATAGCAAACAAAAATACTGCACTTGTCTTGCTTTATTTTCAGGACAGTGATGAATCTCATGACCATCAGTTTTGCATTTCCCATGCATGATATATATGATTAACAACATTATGTGGGTGGAAGCATTTAGGTATTCTGAGTCTAGTCTCATCTGTCACCACACACGATATAATGAGAGGGACTTGTTAACTAGATCATTAAATGATACCTGATGATGTATTGTCACCAATTAGAGCACAGCAGCCTTTTGATCTAAATGCAGTGGAATGAAAATGTATCTAGTGCCTAATTAGATCTGCTTCTACCTTGTTTACTTAATTTGACAAATGTTTAGAAATATACCGTAGAGTCTTCAATAACATTGCTACGAGAGAGTACATTTAACGTTTCACAACTGTATAATTTGTTTATTTATTGTGTCTATGGAGGTGTAAATGTGTAACTCCTCAAAATAAGCATCTCTCCAAAATATATCACAAAAATGATCAATCAACTAGGTGACTGCCCGTTCAAACAATGGCACCATCAGCATGCCAGACAACATCTGCTGTTTAAGACAGCCTACGGTGGAAAAACACATTCACAAAGATGTCAATGTACCTGACAGAACATTGTCGAATGAAAAAGATGGAATAATCATAAATTTCTGACACATGGGACTTGATATATTAAACTGCAGTAACACATACTACACACTTAATGTGTCATTTTAAGAGTCATTATCACATTCTGCAGATTAAGTAAATGAGATAAAGTTACTAACAGATCACTGCAGATTGTTTTATTACCTTGTAAGCCTAGTTCGCCCATGATTATATGTTTCTCGGTCTGTGAAGATTCTCATTCATCCAGGTCCTGTTGTACCTACAATAGTAGTAGTTAGTTACATTCTATTGGATGTTTTTGCTACTCTCCAACTCATTAAAGTAGTTTCCTCACTTTTAATGAGTGCCAGAAACATACCCAACATTGAGTGTGTTTTTAAGCCCAGCAACATATTGAGACAGAAGCTTGTGCAGTATGCCCATGCAACCCAACAATTAAAGGGTATTGCCACTTTTGCAGTCAAATTTAAGAAACCCCCGTATGTTATGTGTTCCCATTCACACATCGTACCTTAAAATAAAAAATAAAAATGTTTATCTTTTAGCTGTTTCTTTGAAGCAGGATTATATATGAAATTCTACAGGAAGCTTCTAGTGGTTAGAATAGATGCCAGTGAGCTAATAGGGGACTGACTGAGGGAGAGTTTTTTTTTTAAAGTTCATTAACATAGTCATGTTGAAAAAAGACACATCGAGTCCATCAAATTCAACCTATAGAGATACGGAGAGAAAGAAAAAAAAACATACTATGTTTCACCCTGTCTTAGGATAGACAGTTCTGCTCATCTGATTTACAGGTGATAATTAAATCTGCCAGAATAGTACAGACAGGTTTAATTATTTGAAACAAAACTCCCTCAACCTTTTAGACAGTGAAGGCTAGCGGGATTTTTCAGTCCTAAACTTTGCAGAAACATTATTGACAAAAGGTAAGCTGCAATTTTTTTTTAAGTTGTGCTATGTGAATGGGAAACATTTAACAAATGTAAAGTAGGTGTTATCCCAATTTGGCTGCAAAAGTAGAAATACACTTTAAAGCTGATTTACCCTTGCCATGAGCCCCCCTCCCCACTGCAAGGGTAAAGTGCTCCTTTTGGCTAGGGGTTCATAAATAAGGTGACAAATTCACCTTATTCCTCACACCCCCAGCAGCTGGCACTCTCCTCCACATTCAAGCAGCCCTTGGCATCCTCCCATATAGTGCAGGGTTGCTGGTCTTACATTGTATGGCATGACATTAGAGATCTGTGACCAGGACACCAGTAGCATGAAGAAGTGGATGCCTGCAGGAGCGAGAAATAAGGTAAGTATATCACCTTTATTTAGCAGTTAACCCTTTCAGTGGGGAGGGAGACCCACTGCAAGGGTAACATTTTTTTTCATGCCAGATTTCACCTTTAAACACAATAAACTGGTATATGCAGTGCAGTGTAGTGAACACCTGTACATTTGGAGAAAAAAACAACCGATCAACAAATGGATGGCCCGACAGAGGAGGGCAAAATCTGCAGTTCAGGACTTGGCCACCTTCCTACCCCTACATTTGAGGGTGGTGAGTTGCACATTTTGGAAATAAAGGACAACTGGTGTGTAAGGAAGTGTAAAAGAGGTAATTTAGAACAGGGGTGGGGGGGACCTTAGACACCATCTGTCACCCACATATATGATGCCGTTTTAACATCTGTACCCAGAAATTTGACAATGGTTCACATTGTCAGTTATGTAACTCTAACAATAAACACATTCCCAACGCTTCATTTGGCCATAGTGACTGGAATATGCAATTAGATGAGTGTGGTTTCACCTACCTTCACACCTTGTTTTTGGACAACTAACATCTGCTTTGACATTTTCCATGGTGACTGGATTAATATAACTGAGGTGATTTTATAGTTAAATGTTGGGGTATGTTACTTACACTCATTGTAACTCAGAAAGTTACAATGAATGGACTAACTAACCAAGTGAATGGACTAACTACTACAAACTTAAAAGTAATATCTGTTGAGAAGGGAGTATGGGGAGTGTGAGCACTTACTATCTTATTAAGGGGAAACATTAGTAATTGGGACAGATTTTTTATAATTGCACAGTCTTTCCAGCTGAAAACTTCGGTTCAGGGGACTGCTCTTGCATGTCTATGGGCACTCTTATGTGTTAACATCACTTTAGCTTGTAAGTGGTAAATCCTAGTAAAAGTTAGCATTACTCAAGTCTGCAACTGCTCTTCAATGTTGAATTTAATTTTTATTGTTTTTAATGTAAATAAAGTACATGTTCCCCTCCCATTCCCCAGAAAATAATAGATTGTATACATGTTGTGGCTGTTCTGGTAAGGAGCACAACCTGCCATTGCGTAGGGACTAGTGTGTATGCCCTTTGCTATATTAATAACAGCCCATGGGGTAGGTTTTGTAACAGGGGGCATAGTATAAATATATGTAAACACCAGCCAGGTGCTGAGAAACACCTTGCTTTTCCATACCAAGATACTATGGTAAATAAGGGAGATGTTTAAATCCAAATTACCTGTTCTCGCTACAGCAACTGGTAATGCGTTCATTTAACGATGAACCCATTCGATCATTGCAAGTTTAAAAAAACATAATTCTAAATAAAATAAATCCATCTGTGCCATTTAACTTTTCTTTGGGTTCTCTAATTAAAAAGTCAGTAATTTTTTCTGGTATTAAGTAAGAGTAATTTTTTCTGGTATTAAGATAGTGGGTTGGACCTGCACACTTTTGCTTTACACATCTCTCTCCCTATAAGGATACCAGTCAATATGCCTGGTGCACTGGGGTGGCATCTTGGGGGTGCATAATGGGTTATGGGCATACAAATATTACTAGACAACTGCCTTATTTCCAGTTTAGACACAAGTTGCTAAATAATCAATAGTAAACTTGGAAAGCAACTTATGCATTGCTCGTTAATATTTCAATAACAATTTTAAAAAATCAACATACACAGGTGAGCCATATGTATAAGTGGAAATACCGCTCTCATCGCTGACATTTGATACATCAAGAAAAAAGGCCAAAGTCCTAATAGCAGTTTTACTGAACTGTGAATATTTGAATTTTTTGACAAGCAATCAGTTGTATTAAACAAACATTTTGTGGCATCACTGTTTCCACTGTATCTTCACCCTTAGTACCAGTATTGATATTTTCAAGTCTCAGTCTTTCTCTGTTTGTGTTAGAATGCTTCTTATTTGAATGCAATGGTTCTAGACATTCACATAAAATCCAATCAAGTGAGCTGTTCTTCAGATGATGATTATTCCTTAAGGTCTGTTACAGTTGTTTAGACCCTATACACTTAAAACCAGTTAAATGATGGTTCATATCAACTGACTTTAATGAAATGTCTTTTGTTTCTTTAATGGAAACCTCTGGGTAGAAAAAAACAAAAAGGTCAAACTCTGGCTCACTTTGTATAGGAGGCACTTCTAGCTGTAGTGCCTCAGGAGCTCTCTGATATTCAAATAGCAACTAGCTTCCATTGCCTGCCAGTCTACTGTACTCTACTACTGGCCCATCACTGTGACGGGTGGTCTCACAAACTAAGATGATAAAGATGGCACTATTTGAATGTTAATATATTTGTAGAATGGATTGAGAGCCCTGCTTAATGATTGTTACTGTGGCCTGGTTTTCCCTGACATGAATAAAGTGATGATGCTGCTTTACTATCCAGTGAGCAGGCTAGTGGTGGAGAGGTGACAAAGAAAGCTGCAAAGCAGAACCTAATAATAGGGTTGTCAGCTGCCTGACTATACATGTGGCAGAGCTGTGTAAACCATACCATTGGCTGGGCAGAGCTATAGAATTAATTGGCAAGTAACACAGTTCACATGCAAGCATTTCCACTGTATATTTAGCTTTTTGCCAGGGGTTTAAGTCAATATTTCAGAATACTGTGGGACTAGTATAACATGAAAAAGTTCAAGATTTGTCTGCTTACTTCCATTTACATAGTTTGTTCAAACAGTTGCTCTAATGAAGAATTATGAATGAAAAGAGATGCAGGGAGCAAAGCAGAAATGCATCTGTAATTTAGTGTAAAAAAATATTCTCCCGTATAGCTATGCTATTTTAATTTGTACTTTAAATTGAAAAAGATATGTCAATCCTTCTGACACCAGCTCCGGAGCCACTTGTTAAGCTCCCTCAACTCGCGCTGTCTGTCCAGAGTGGCTCTTGGCACCGGCAGTATCTCTGAGAAAACTACCGTGGAGGTCCTTTCCTTCATCCTAGATTCAGTTTTATTTTTTGTAGAAAACAACATTTTAAAGATTAAAGAGAATACAGATGGCTAAAATGTGTACATATTAAATGAAGATTATATCAAAACAAGCACTACCGCTGACACAATAGTTTCTCCTAGGCTCTGGGCAAAGCCGTTGATCATGGTTATATGTGTCTGTTGTGCATACTGAATACTGCATTCATGTGCTTAAAGATTAATGTTTTATGTTTTATGCTAGTTTTATGTTTGACTCACATCAGTATCTTTTTATTTTTATCTTATGAAATGTGTAATAATTGGTTTAGTGCATTTTTCCCAGGAATTATTTTTATTGCTATGGTTCACATTTGATTTCCTTCCTTTTTATCCCAATGACAGAATTTCCTTGAGATGTTTTCAGAGTATTGACAGCCAACAGAGAAAGACATCTCACAGCATAAGCCTCTTCACACCAGCCTTATTTATAGAGTGTAAAAGTCACATTTGTCTTTCTTTGTAGTGTTAGATGTAATTGTCAAAGCTGTTCAAGCAGAAGCATGAATTCTGCCAGCTTAAGTTGCGCATTTAACTCTTAAGATGACCACTTATAAAACAATGGCCTTTTTCTCTTCAGGGATGTCTTCCAAGAAAAACTTTTTTTTCTAATAAAAATACGCAGCATGAAAATGTGAACCATATTTCAGTTGGGGTTCTACTGTGTTATTTTAAGTGCCCTTAAAGTTTGGGTTATTCTATAAAGATCATGGTCTTTATTTAGCAGTATGGTAATTGCCCCTTTTCTTCAAACCTAATCCTACTGAGATAAAACCGCCTTTTCTGATTTCTGAATGATGTTAAAGGGATGGGAAAAATGTTAGGCTCTTGTTGGCTAGAGTATCCATCTTGACAGATGAAACTTAGTGCTTTGCAATATGCACTGCCATCTAACTAGTGCCCTACCACAACTTTTTCCACTGCTGCCATATCAGTAAATATTTAAGCCAGTATTCTCCAACCATCAGGACAGGAATTCATGCTGCTTTTTTTTGACTGTTAATCTTCTTGGCCACAACATTCCAATGCCTTGAATATTAAAAATATATTACCATACATCCACTAAAACATAAAAGTAAGGCAAACATGTAGTGTATAAAATACATTTCTGAGGCTTATATGTAAGGGTCAGCAAAAGTATTTGTCTGATCATCTAATTTTACCTTGTGCTATTTATCAGTTTATTTAAAAAAAACTGACATGGGAAATTGTCAAAGTAAAGTGCAGAAAAAGATAAAAAAATATAGAGACAAAACAAAATATGCCGTTTTTGAGGAAAGTTTTTTTTAATCCTACAGACAATACAAATAACAGAATAAGTAATAAGCATAACTGATACTTAGCGTTGTCTGTATTTTGCCTTTGAAATGTTTGGCAGAAACTCTAATGATCAATTTCAGATCATGCCAGGGGTAGCAAGGTAGCTATGTGGTTAGCACTCTTGCCTATGCAGCACTGGGTGCTAGTTTTAATTCTTACTAGGGACCCAGTGATTGTAGTTTTTATGCCCGTCCTATGTTTTGCATGGAGTTTTCACCAGGAACTCTGGTTTCCTTCAAAAAGACAAAACATTTATTGGTAGGTTAGCTAGTGTGCGATGTTAGCCTTTGAGTTTGCATGTGTATGCTTGTATGACTGTGGTAGGGACATTGACATTGTACAAAGTAAAAAACAAAAAATACTAATAATTCATGCCAAACTAAACTAAACAAAACACCAGAGACAAGTGATTTTTTAAATGTTTTAAGTGTCAGCAATACAGGGATATCAATACTGGTGCATAACTGCAGTTAGGAAATTATATAATTTATAGGTATATGACTCAGGAAAACAGCCCAATGTTTCTTCATTGCAGTAAAGAAACACACCACTTTTAATAGATTAAAGTATGCAAAGGTATAGACATACAAACTAACAGAATAACAGAGTAACAGAGTAAATATTTAAGGATGAATTCTTAATTAAAACCCATAGTCTTTAAAGAGACCCTGCCACAAACTTGAAAAATTGCAAGTAAAAGCACATACAAATTGAGTATTTTAGATGCTTAATTACAGTAGTTTTCCTTTCCATAAATTATTTTATATTTACTTGCAATGTGTCTTGGAACTTGCTAAAAATGTTTTACCCTTTCAGGAAAAGTCAATCCCCTAGAACAGTTTCCTCCCTCCTTGCATTGTGCTGGCCCAGCTCTTTTACCCCTTCCCTCAACTCCCTCCATAACCTTTTATGTAGCTGATGCAGATGGAATGTCATTTGAGTGTCAACTTAAGTCTGTTGGGGCTGCAGACATCATATCCAAGATGGCAGTGCCCAGCAGCAGTCTCAGGGTTTTAGGATGTTTACACAAAGGAGGCTTTTACAGATTAACAACAAGCAAAAATACATTAAAAGGAAAATCTTGTGGGATGATCTTTTGTAAGTGAATGGTCTGGGTCTCTTTAAGTTACTAAGCCTAAAAATGGCAAGACATTTGTTTTTGATGTAATATTCTCTTTGGACCATTTTCTTCTATTACTGTTTTATTTTAGTACAGAACAAGAAAATGCATCTGGGCTAGCCTAAGTTATGTGACATCCTTTGCAAAATTTTACTTTCATATAATTATAACCCACTCAAAAGAACAAATCCTACTTTTTCTCCGTGTTCGTTTTGCCACTCAAGTTGAGATCAAGAAAAGCAATATATTGTTATATTTTACACTTGTTTCCAGTGTGATACAGCGTTAGGACCAGTTTGGTGGTACTAACCACTAGGGAAGAATTGGGGTGCTAGTGTAGGAGAGGTGTTTCTCATCATTGTTACTTTGCAAATGCTCTCTTACCACCCTAGAAGCTTCTTATGCAGCAATCCTTGACAGTTTCCTTCCACGTGCATATTGAAATAGCATTTACAAAACAAAAGGTGTACTGAAAGCATGAGTTCCTGATTTTGCACTTTGGCCTTCTAGGGGAATAAGGCTGTATTTTAAAAACGGGTAAGCAAGGTAAAAACTGAAGGGAAAGGTGCACTTCTTAAAGGGATGCCTGCTGTGTATATTGTGATAAATCTTAATAAATGGTTAATGGAGGTTAAAAAAAATCCAGAGGTAAGTGACACCCAGAAGATGCCCACTGTATGATCACACATAGCAAAGGGTTAGAAGGTTCTTAATTCTATATGATTTTTATTACACTTGTTTTGCTGTTTGAAGATGTATACATTTCCTATTTCTAAAAGTTGTATTCTAATGTTTTTCTTGTTTTTTTCTACTCTCTTTTGTCAATGGATATCAATCACTCCCTGTCGGACCACTATATTTCTACCTGTCGAAACAATGTTGAAATGAAATTTACCTCTGATGGACCAAATTTCCTTGTTTCCTGCTGCTGAATGGTTTCTCCAACCTGATCTGCTTGATCTTACAAATCAAACCTTCCTCCGTGTTTATCATCTGCTCTTGAAAATCCTTACATTTCTACTTCTTCCTACTGTCAACCTCGGGAAAGCAACGGAAGAATCGTGGGCTGAGGGTGGCTTCTGTATGCTAGTAAAAAAGAACAATCTGTGCATAAGGAAAGTACTTCAGCAACTCTGCTGCAGAACATGTACACTCAAGGGGTGATTTAGCTGCTACTTCTGCAGAGGGTCCCGGTTATTAGACTTCTAGATTTTTCATATTAAAAATAAAAAGCCACCTCTTTCTCTCAGTGAACTGTTTTTTTGGAACTTTAAAGAAACAAACAAACAAAAAAAACTACAACAGACCTACCTTGTATTGCTGGGTGTTTACATTCAAGCACCTGGATCCACAGTCAGTATTGTGTGACCAAAGCATTGATGCCAAAATAAAGAGTCAGCTAATGATGTGATGTCAGCTCAAAGGGATTTCCTTTTGTTGTTCATTGTTTGGTCTCCCTGAGGCAGAAGGGGCTATGGCATATTTTAACCCCTTTAGTGTTAAGATGACCTGCCATTTGATGAATTTGATGATTTACGTCTTGTTTTTTTTCTGTGAAATATAAAGAAAAAATTATTTATCCACTAGTTTTTATTTTTATTTGCTCCTGTGTTTTTGTTGCTGGAGACAGTCATAGAGGTTATGCCCATCTTCCATGAGGTTCAAGTGTGAAAGAGGGAATAGCTAGATTTGATTCAGTTAGGTGGCTCTCAGGGTTTGCAAAACAGTAATCAAAGAATACATGGTAAGAGTTTCTGCTGAACTTGCCAAATCTGAGCTGTGGGTAGTCCTGTCAGCACCACTTAGTTTGACAAAAATCAAAATTTTTACTCGACTTTTTTCGATGGATTCACTTGGAAAATTATCGGCTGAACATTACTTGATTCCAATCAGATGCATGCACTGCAATAGCTGGCAGTGGGGATTCCTGTATTCATGCTGTTTAGTGTGAATGGGGGAATCTATTGATTTCTCACAATTAGCCCACAGTGTATGGCCAGCTTAAAACTCCAGCCAGGACTCTTTTTCTGATATATATTTGTTTTGGGATAGAGTGGGAAAGGGTTAGAACATCAGTCAGATTTTCATTGGTGTCTGTGTGCCAATTTCCCCTCACTTTATCTGTGGGTATTGGGGCAGAGAGTGAGAAAATCTTCCAACGGGACATAGACAACAATAACAGCACTTTGCTTTAAAATTGTGGGAAAGGTAAAAATTCTTCCTTGTTTTATCCAAAATGAAAGAAAATGTTTTGACAAGAGTTCCCAGGTTTCATGACCTACCGCGAAAGAAAAACTTATATTGAAATTTAAATTGAATACTATTTTTATCATCACACCTATTGCTGAATTAAAAGCATATCTATATAGTAAACACAGTAACTTACAGAATTTTAGATATTTCTTAGTGTATTAGCATGTACTGTGTTGCCATTTACTACCTACAGATCACACTGATGATTATTTCGAGCCATGAACAGCTGAAAAAACCTTGCTGTAAAGTCCTTTTATAGGGTATGCAACAGGAATTCTGGTGTGTATACTGAAATATCACCTCAAGCCTTCTAAATAGCAGTTTTATTAGAAATGTCTTATGTTTAAAGAAACTATGAAATGTTTGCACATGTTATTCATAGCTCTTTGTGTAATTATTTGTAATTGTAATAAATTGAGTTGGATGAGACAGATTTGAATAGAGCATGCTAAAAGCCCATTCCTGAGAGTGTAAGACACTGAAACCCTTGGATCCCTAGCAGGTTAAACAGCATGTTATTTTCGGCTAGAAAATGTAAATTCTACTGGTTGTTACGGTGCTGATATTTACATATTTACATTCCGTAAGCTGTCATTTCACAGGCAGATCTATCTTGGATGCATATCCAAGAAATGCCTGCTGTCTAAACCATTGATGACTTGCTAGGTCGGCCATGAGTTGTACTCCTGACTCAACAAACTCTGCTTCTGGACACTGTTCTTCTGAATGAATCACGTGAGAAAAAGATTCCAGAAAGCTGGAAGATTTTTGTGAATGACAATACAGATGTGTATAGATTCTTTCTGCTATTCACTTGTTTAACTATATCCTACTAGTATAGTACAGTTTTGAATCCTTTCCATTGCTTGTAAGAAGTGCGGTATACAGTATAACCTGCATTGCATAAAAAATATGAGGTGTAAAGAAGCTTGGCAGGTCATTGGCAACAGCAGAATAATGTAAACAAAATGATAGTTTGTATTCACTTGAATTCCTTCTAGCCTGGGATCATGCAATAAAGGGCCTAAAGGAAGACTGGTTTTTGAGCACTGCAACGCTTTGCGCATTGCAAACTTTCTTCTTCTATGTACCTGAGTATGCTCTTTTACATATATATGTTTTACATAACATGTGATTTATGTTTGTAAATCAGAATTGTGTGCAATTCCAAATAAATCATAAAGGTAGACCAAGATGTCTATTTAATAAAACACTGCAAAGTGCAGTAAACCACAACAAGTAATCAGATTTCAGTTGTGCCCCATTGAGGAAAAAAAGGTGAACTCTAATTGGCAATGGTAGATTACTACAGTTTGCATAGTCTTTTTACTCTCAAAACCCACTTCCAATGTTATTAAATATCAATTATAATCCAGGTAAATTGACACTGTTGACTTATAGCTTCTAAAAAATGTATGCATATCCCATGTAGGTCATTTATAACAATATAACACAAAATCAGAATTTTACCTTATAGATACATGGAGAAAATTCATGTGTCTGTGTTGCTTAAGGCAACCAGTCAATCAGACACTTTTTTACTGCACTGAAAGACTGTCAGTTGGAGCCTGGTAGCCTGCATAGAGACCCACTTAAACATGAAAGATGTCATTAAAGTGACCTTTTACATGCCATGACTTGTGTTAATGTAAGGATTGGCACAAAAGGGATATATGTACTGCTTCCAGCTGGACTGATATAAAGCTTTAATATTACTTCATAGGAACAGGATTAGATTTACGTAGTGGAAAAAGTATGCTGAATATTATGCTTCCTGGTGCTCTTCACCTTTTTTTTATTTGATAAATAACTGCAATGCTGAAAGTGGCATAAATTATGATGAACATGTGGTATACATCTGCTGCACAGTGCACTTTTGTCTGTCAGTATTATCTGCAGTACTTCATAATGGTTTCTGCTCCATAAAGTTTTTAGCATTTCCTCTATTACTGAATGAATCTTGTCATATTTTAATATGTTAGTCTTGTATCAAATTTTCTCTTCATTTACATTTGTAAGTCTTGCATTGTTTTAGTATTTTGGAGCTCTGCAAACTTGCAATGATAGGATGATGAGACTAGGAGATTGGTATAACTGATATTATGCAATTTGTTTAAATTGATGGCAAAATGTGGAAACTAAGACTAGGGATCAACTGCTGAATGTTAAATGGATAATTTTGTTTCCCTACGTAAAAACAAATAACACGCTGTGCTTGTGTGCCTGTAATTAAATAGGGATATACCTTCTGAAACTGATCATTGAGAAAGGAGGATGTAACTGATGTGTACTCTGTGCCCCCAGTCCTCTAATCTGCTACTTCAAACACCTGGTGATTTCCCACTATGGGCCAGTGGAGGATTTTCTGACATGCTCGTGTCAGAATAAAGAAAAAAAAAGACACAGCGGGGTTTCTCTTCTTGACATTTCAGAAAAGAACATACAAAAAACAAATCCATATTTTTTATACACAGGTATACAGATTACCTTTTTTTGGTACAGTATCTTGTCAGTCATTTTGGTTGCTCCTCAGGTTAAGGGGGGACTTTTCATAGCCCAAGCATGTAAACATAGCAGTACTGTCATAATCAGCTCCATCAACTGTTTCATACACACTCCTTCTTTTCTCAAAATGTGCTATCTAAGCAGACAAAACAGATCAGTCAATTACTGTTTTGCTAAATGCTCAATTTTGGGCTGAGGAGTTGAGAATCTTCACACAATAAATTGTGTGGAAATTTCATTTATTTATGTGAAGATGAAAAACGCGAACAGAAATTTGCTTTTTTTACGTGACTGAATAACTGAAGTGAACATTTTCACAATTTTTATTGTGTAAGGTTTATCAGCTGCTCTTAAAAATCAGCCCTTTTTATGTCAAAATGCAATAGCTAAGCCTCTCCATTGTTAACCACTTTTCCTGGCTGCTAACATATCCCAAGTAAACTGCAGAGAGGAGTGACACATGGTTCTCCCAGGGCAGAGGTGACTTTGGACTGTGATTGACAGCTTTGTGAAATTACTGGGGTTCAGGCGACAGGCTGGAGAAGAGTTTTTGTTTATTTAAGTGACACTTAACTTAGGAGCTAAATCTTAAAAATACATTCAAGTACCTTAACTATTAACAAAAATGTATCTTATTTGTGTATCACTCAGCTGTAGATCCAAATCATCTCTGAATTGGTGCTGACACTGTTCTTCCTTCTGGAGCGTGGCTACTTTTGTTCCCCATGGCCCCTGTGTACTAGTAGTAGTGTAGTAGCCACCGCTCCAAGCTCACTCCTGTGATGGACTGCAATCTCGATACAAATTAGTAATCTAAACCTAAGATTGTAGTCCATCACGGGAGTGAGGTTGGAGTGGGGACTACTTTACAACACACACAGGGACCATGGGGAACAAAAGTATCCACCCTCCAGAAGGAAGGACAGTGTCAGCAACAATTCAGAGATGATTTGAGGATCTACAGCTGAGTGATACACGAATAAGATACATTTTTTTAAATAGTTAAGGTAGTTGAATGTATTTTTAAGATTTAACTCCTGAGTTTAGTGTCACTTAAACTGTGCCCCAGTGAGTTCTTTATAATCTGAATAGTTCATCTCTGAAAATGGTTTCTGTAAAAAATGTAAAAAAGAGTTTATTTACGCCCATGTTCGAAAGCTTGCAAAAGTTAGGGTGCATGCATATGAAAAGCATACTAACAAGAAAATATATTTTTTGCCCATAGCAATCATTTGGCTCCCAACTGTCATTTCTATAGCCCACAGTGTGAAAATGAAACAAGGATCCAAAATGGTTGCTATAGGCAGCAAGACATTTATAAGGCTATTGTTAGAGGTTAGATTGAGACTTAGGTTTTAGTAATTAACTAGTAATTTTTTGATTGTGATAACATTTTAGTTGTGATTTGTGTATGCTAAAAAAAGTCATTACTTACAAATACTAATTGGTGATGAAAATGTACTCATGTTTACATTTTCTGGCACCAGAACTCACTAGCCAAAGCAATCTTTACAATTTTAAGGGGGAAAAAAACATATCATAGAGACTATGCACAGGCAGTCTGAGATTTCAAGCCTGAAAGATATGTTTTGTTATTTACCAACCATGATGGAGGATGAGGTTCTGTGAAGACCTCATATGCATGTGTAGCCAGGTTATCTCACTGCCAACTTTTCTACTCAGTAACATATAACAGATGCTGATAATCTGGATTGATCAGATTTGACCATCATTTTGGATGGGCAAATATGTTAAAGACTGGGCCTCCAACTACCAAGCCTGCACAGCCAAATTAGTATATGGCCTTCCAGAGTTTCATCCTCTTTTGAAAAC